CGTGTCTACAACATATTTTGTTCCCCCCCCTGCCACTGAGCTCAAGCATGAGCCTCTCCTTTCCCCGTCCTCCCCCACCACCCCGGCCAGGACAGCTTCGGGATGGGGGGGTTTGTTCGCAACATCAGAGAATGGGAGAGAAAGCAAGCCACAGTGGTAGTGGGCCTTGCCCCTTCTTTAGGGGTTCCCCTGGCCCACCGCCTGTCCCTGCATTGCTCTGCTGGGGGGGCTCTGCTGCAAGGGTGGTGAGCCCCCCCTCCCGTCCTCCTAGCTGGTGCTCAGCTGGGTGACCCCGAACATCTGGGGTGCCTCAGGGGCCACGAAGGCTGCTGTTTGATCCCCCCCCCCCGGGCTTTTGGGTTGGCCTCGGTGGTGCAAATAAATAATGAGCAAAATAAAAAAGAAATGCTACTAAGGAGAGAGCTAAAATATACAAATACGGACAGAGCTAAAATATACAAATATTTCACGTTTATTCCTCTTTTTAAAAGGACAAGGGGAAATTAGATACAGAAGTGATAATACTCCAATATTCAGTGAGAGATGGCGCCACGGCGAGACAGACGAGGGGGCAACGGGGGCCCTCCAGCCCAGCAGCAAGGGGTAAAGCCAAGAGGAGATTGGAAACATTGGCCCCGCCACCCCGGGTTGCTCCACACCGAGCAACAGGAGGGGCAGCTAAATCATCAGCCATTGCCTTCCCCTTCAGCTACAGCACAGTTGCTTCAAAGTGAAACACCAACCCTTGTGGTCCAGAACGTTGAGGAGTTGGTGGGCCAGCAGGTCCATCACCCAGGGAGCAGCGGTCGTCACACCGTGGCTGCTGCGGACAAGCTGATGATGGCGGGGTCCTTCCCCTGCATCGCCGGCAGCTGAGCCCGGTTCCCCATCGGACACCCGTCCGGGCGACTCACCAGAGCGACAGGCAGGGAAGCGCAGGAGAAATCAACCTGGCAGGAAAAAGTCATGTCCAGGGAACACTGACCCTGCCAGTTCTGGATCCTCTGGAACAGTGGTCCCCAACCGTGGGCCTCCAGATGTTCCTGGACTTCACCTCCCAGAAATCCTGCCCAGCAGAGGTGGTGGTGAAGGCTTCTGGGAGCTGTAGTCCAAGAACATCTGGAGGCCAAAGGTTGGGGACCACTGCTCTGGAAGATATACTTTCGGGAATTCCCTCCAGGGCTCAGTGCCTCACTCAGAACTTTTGCCCGAGGATCTGTGGAGCCTTGGCATCAAACTGTAATTGAGGCAGTTCTGAACTCCATATATAGAGCCTTCCACCCTGGTGTCATACAAGCAGGCAATGCTGAGTTTTTGGGACTATAATATGGCTTAAGAGGGTGGCAGGTGGCCCACATCCGAGGAGGCTGCGCTGAGATATCTAGTATCACTGAGGTGTGGGGGCTTGGCACCAGAGACCCTGGCTGTCCATTTAGAGGCCATTTCTTTTTTCAGTCAGGCCTGCGGCCACACAGATCCTACGGTATCCTTCAGCACCCGGAAAGCTATTGAAGGTTGGAGAAGGATGGGGTTGCCACACTGGGATGGCCATAGACCCATCACCTACATTACTCGGGCCCTTTTCTGAAGGCAACAGGGCGTCAGGAACAGCAGGCTCCCAAAGCAGAAAAAGGGGGCAAGAAGATGGCTCAGGTGTAGATCTAGCTCAGCTATTGAAGGTTGGAGAAGGATGGGGTTGCCACACTGGGATGGCCGTAGACCCATCACCTACGACGTTACTAGGGCCCATTTCTGAAGGCACCAGGGTGTCGGGAACAGCAGGCTCAAAAGGGGAACAAGCCAGAAAAAGGGGCAAGAAGATGGCTCAGGGGTAGATCTAGCTCCCATGTAGGACAGGGAACCATAGCTGCCCGGAAAATGGGATGCTGGGG